TTGGAAGTTATGAAAATTCATCGGTGTGTGCACGAGTGAACTAGTGGAACCCGAGGTCGATAAATACATTTCCGTCAGCTGAAATTTGGCCGACGACAAAGTACTTCAACGATCACCCCGACCACAGGTTTAGGAAGTCTCTTGTTATATATTACAGTAACCAGCGGTAAAACTTATCACATGTGTTCAACATCTATTATATTGTAACGTTGGCGACGTTAAAGATCTCACGAATCACGTTTCACGAATGCGCACGTCACTACTCAATAAAGTGAGTACTGTATACGCGAGCGACGTCTGTATAATCGCTCGTATTTTGTTAAATTTAAGACAAGAATAATTAAATTCATTAACTGATTCCCAATTATTTGTTTTTCTGTAAAATGTCAAACGTGTTTCAAAACGTGTCAGTCTTAGGCGAAAGTTATGCGCTTGAACTCGCTTTGTTTCTTTTGTCTATTTCAAAACAAAAAATAGTTTTAATAACGTGAATAAATCCGCGCGTATGCGATTCTCCAGGAGTCACTAAGATCTGTGAGGCGGACGATCGAGCAATTGTCGATATTGTACTTTTTAATCGATTTTTTATAGAATGATTCCACGGAGATACAATGCTCGATGTTGAATGCCGTGGCTATGCATCGGATATCTGTTAGTTTTTATCAAATGTTCTAAAAATTGTAATACAATGTAAACCTGTAAAAAAATATACTGGCTGATGACGGCTCTTCATGAATATTATTATTATCTTTATTATGGTATATGTAACCGGTATAAATATATTCGCGAGTTTTTTCTGATCGGTAAAGTATAGTATCAAGTGTACAAGAGTATTCTGATCTATTGCAGTTAGGAGATATAGAAGCGATATTTTGTACAATATTCATAACAAATTCTTTTTTATAAAAACATTAAAATGTTAATCAGTATTGTAGAAAAAAAGATTATTAACATGAGTATTTACCAGTCGAATATTTAACGGAAAATTATGAATTTCAAACAGAGAATTCAATTTATTGAAAAACGAGCATTTGGATTTTAGGTCTTGAAACTGCATAACGCCTGTTTAATTAACTAACAGTATGGCGGTAGTAAAACGAGTATGAAAATATCATGTAATATTGCTTGAATGGGGTGACAGCGAAGCTGAGGCGATTTAGGAACTACGTACTGCACAACCAATGCATAAATAAATAATCTTTCGTCTTTTTCTGTCGATTTGTTTTTTTTTTTTTGTAACTATTTTATAATGTATTTCTGCCGTCCAGGTCATTGATAGACGATTTTTGTGCTACGTTATTGTAATCAGTTGGAACTAACAATCGATCGCTTATAAAGTATCAACCGCAGTGCAGAGCTATCGATAAATTACCGACTTCTGTCGATAATGTACCCGCTCAGCTTACCGAACAATGCTTATTAAAAACGTATATACGATCTAATGATGCGCATGTTATTTACTTGATCGACCAAGCACACATTGCGCCATCTAACAGTCTTAGCATCAAATTGATTCGAGTTTTGATACATTTAAAGCCAAAAATTTGTAGTCTATTGTTTTCGTAGGACAAAGATCGCCCAGTTCATTTGAAAGAACAATTTTTCTGCATAATTTGTTGCACCTATTCTCATACTTTATTATGAACATTCTCACACACGCGTAACAAAACCATACAGTTTTGTTTTTCTTTCACTCATTTGCCGATTGAAAGGTTGTATCCGAAGAAAATTGTAAGAAATTGATACGTAGATAAATATATGTTCATATGTATACATCTATATGTTATAGATATAGTACGCAATAAAAACTGATTTCGCATTCCCATTTTATTTACAATGTTTGCAAAGATGAAAACAGCGCTTCTCACACACAGGCAAAACTTTTCCACTCCTGTATCCAATACTTTTTTTATACTGTATTTGTTTGACAATAAAGATAATATTCTGTCGGATGCTTATCATACTGTTACATTTTTTTTGTTCTTAGGAACTCAGGATGATGGTTCTCAAAATTCGAAATTCGAACATAGAGCACCAAGAAAGCGCATTTATCAAACGAGGTGACCTTGTTTTAAGCGTATGAAAAAATTATAAAAAATAACTCGTACTTCCGATCAACAATAGTAAAAGTTTTGAATGCTCCAAGAAAATCTTATTCTTACGCAATCAAGGTATCCTCGATTAAAAGATGCGTTGCCATATTTATTTAATCTATTGCAAGTGAATTGTTTGTGCATTTATTGGAAGTACATATAAATTGCAACTTTTTAAAAATCTGTAACCAAAATAAGTTTGTTACACAATAGCGGATTACAATTGAACGAATGATGTGTGCTCAACAACAACAATATAAACGACAAGCATCAAATTCAATCGCAACAACTCAGTCCAGGCAGCTGAGCTTTCAAATGTCTACTTGATATGTTTGTGACTGACGATTTGCATCAATACACATTTACTATTAATCGAAAAAAATAATAATTTCTGAGCGGTAATAACAAGTTTCTATTTTATTCGTGTACAAGTAGGAATTATTTGACAATAAAGGCAATAAGAGCATGCGTTACGATGAAACGATGATTGAAAACACTCATACATTCGCAAGTACTGACACATTTTTGTATGTCATAGATATTGCGTTATGACCAAACACTCGAATACAACCTTTTTTCAAAATTATTTTCAAATACAATTGTGAAAAATTAATAGAATTTTACGCTTTTGCCGAAGCCCGAGTATGTAATTTCGTATTTATTAATTTTGTTTGTGCGATTATACTCATGTCAACTGTTTCATTTCTTTCTCAAAAATTTCAACAACGAATTATTTTTTTTTCACATACGATTCATCTTTTATTATTTATAAGATATTACGTTGGTCAACCATTGTTTTACTGCGGTAACCATCATTTCCCTTTTATTTATTTATTTTCTTTTTTGTGCACGTCCCTATACACGAAATTTAACTAACATTTCTACATATATATGTATTCATTTATTTATTTATATAATATATATATTTATATATTTATACTTTATAATAATCGTCGTATAATAATAAAGTAAACAATCGCGCGGGTTTGTTTTATTTTCCTTAAGTATTAATTTGACGAGAAATGCGTCCATTTTATAAATTGAGCATCCTCTCTTACAACTCACTCATTCACGCATAAAAAGTACATACATCGGATGGACGCTCGACGGTCTCTTATTGTTACAATAATTACATACAATTTATCACTTATATAATTCATTTTATGAACGATCCTATGAATTTTGTTTTATCGTCGATTACTGTTCTATTCGCTCGGTGAATCGTTCATTTTTTGGAATTCAAATTATGCAACATGTGGGCCATTTTGCTTTTAAAACTCAGTATATTATAATATAGATTCTGGAATCTAAGCTATTGTTTCATATAAATCTTTGCAAAATGCGATAACATCTTCATTATACGCGTGGAACCTGTCACAATTACTATATTGTTATTTTATGTCTGTTTAAAAATATGCGCATAAAAATATAAAAGTTTGATAAAAACTGTTGTACATATGGAGTATAAGAATTGAGAGTATGCACCGTTGTGTGAGTAGTGTAACGTTAAGTTACTTCTGAGTAATGAAAAGCAAAATGCCTAATCGTTGCAACTTTGAAAAATTGCACACTTTTTGTTGGAAAATATTTTTACTTTCGGATAAAAATTTTTCCAGCACACACAAATACAGCGATCGGAGCTCGAACAACGTGTTGCCGCACAAGTATGCATTTGTAAATGTGATCTTTTATAGAGTTCCGAGACAGACGAAATTGGTTTAAAATAATACTGAAATTAGCGCACGCGGTGCCTTCTATCACATTATGAATATTCGTAAGAATACTTCCGTATGCTATATCGATCGCACACCAACGCAGTGAACGTATTTGTATGCAAATAATATTTCATATGCTAAATCTTAACACGCAAACGATCATATTTAAATGAACGTTCTCCTTGCCCTCGTGGTATTCGTATATCATGATTTTATTTTTCCTTTTTATTCGCTCTTTATTTATCCTGTAAGTAGATTTTAAAATTCGATACACGTTTAATGCTATTGAGCGCCTGAATCCCAGCGCCACACCCCCCGCAAATGCGAATTATTATTTATATGTACTTAATTATTTTATTGTTGATTTTCTAGATATTATAATACGTAACATATTATGAAAATTATTCATAACAACAATCATTTTGAAAAATATGAACAATTTTTTTCATTTCTGGATTGAAATCATTATAACTTAATACAGTAGTTATTGTTTTTCATAGTAAAATTTTAAATTTGCATATGTCTTATTTTAATTCAAAATTTCAATGAAGCAAAAAAATTTATATTTAAATGAATTGAAGGCGTGTGACACAGGCAGGCATTAGATATTATTTTATATAAAAATTTTTGAAACACCCTGTGTATAGAATATTTTTTTACATATATATTTATAGTTTACGATCAATAATATCAGTTTGTATCATACAGGTTGCGTAATTTTCATTGGTGGTCATAATGCATCATTGTTTATTGTTTATTGTACCGATATATTTTAAATATATAATATATACATTTATTTTTATTTTTAAAATGTATTTTTATACGAAAATGTACCACGATTATAAATATCAATACTGTTTAGAGTATGATACTACCACGATGTTTTCAAGTACTTAATGTGTATTATTTCACATAAAAATAAAAAATAAAATAATCATACGTCACTTGATCTTCGCTTACTTTTTTATGTGTATTGCGAACGAATCATTTGTGAATTTTGTTTTTTTTACATGTTTTACTCGTAATACTAAAAACGGAATTTTAACTATACGCGTTTAAATTCTAATTTTTTCGCATTAAAGTTATTATTTTATCATTAATTTTGTAATATTTTTTTTATCTTAGATTTGTCAGTGGTTATCCCTGATGTGTTAGTTACCCTGCGCTTCCGTCTGTTGTCGAAAATTCTGATCTAAAATGCGATTTCAGTCTCTAATGGCCTTTGGCCAACGACGCTGACTTTAAAGAGCTTCATTTCTGTTTCAACAGCCTAAAGAATTTTAAACGATTTTCGACAATTTGAATCGTTATACAGATTTTCGTGTTTCGTTATACTTTGAAAATTTTTTCGATGATTATTGTAATTTATAAAATCACAATTATCAAAATTTGTATTTGATCAGCTCGTTTAAGCACACCTATCGCGTGCATGCATGCGTGTGTACAAGACACAACGAAAAAGTCAACCAAATTAATCACATATCGCGTTTCTAATACTTGCGCTCTTTATTGCACAGATCCCTCCGACGAAATTTCAACGTCCACAAGTTTTCCGAATGTCGAAACGTAATTAAAATCAATCTTGAAAATATTGCACGAAAAATTTCAGTCAAATTCCTACGATAAAGCTTTGATCGAAAAAAAATGTTTATGTACAATTTTAAATAATAATCGAGTTTACCAATCGCCCGGAAATGTGACGGTATTCGAGAATAAATCGGTTAAATCGACCACGAGCGACAAACATCCCTCGTTCTTTTTCCCCCTTTGTTGCGGCAGTATTATATCAGCAGACTCGCGCTGCACTGCGGCGCACATTTTCGTCGCCTCCTCTCTTTCTTTTACCTTCATCACGTATCACATCCTTGAGAGTTCGAATGTGTCAAAGTATTTGGTATGCAATCATTCAATATGTATCAGGAACTATTTTCTTTAAACAATGAGTACGAGTTTGTGGTACATTTGGCGCACGATATAAACAATCGAGCCTAACTTCTTGCGTTCAGGCCAGTATCTATTTTTAGTATACTATTATATTTATCGGTAAAAAAATAATGCCATGATTGCCAGTGAAGAACACGTGTGAGCTTTCTTCGTGTATTCAATTAAAACGGAGCGTGTAGCGCACTTCAACATCGAAGTATAGACTACCAGCGACTAACCAACCTTTTTTCGTGTATAATAATACAATATATACGTATGTCATTTGATCCCAGGGACCGTAATGAAGTTATATGAACCGCAGCAAAGTTTGACTCGATTTTTATCTTACATAATATATTATATTCTATATGAGTTTATGATGCTATAGTGGAGAAGAAGTAGGAAAAGAAGGAGAATGGCGAGTGCACGAGTTCCACACTACCTGAACGATGCGAACCCGAGCTTTTTCAGCCGAGTAATGGATATTCGACCTCTCGATCGCACATGGATTTGTTTTTGGCGCTTTTTGACCTCTTGGCTTTGGAAAAGCCCGAGAAAATCACCAGATACGTTAACTTGGCTTACGAGCTAGAAAACCGTAACTTATTTGTTATCCTAAAGCGAACGGAAAGTACATATGTTGCATATATACTTCGATTTAACGATCATTGAATATCATTTAGATTCGTGTATATAAATATAAATATAATACGAGTAACAAAGAAAACGAATTAAAGTGTCGGAGAATGTGCTTCGACGAGCCAATCGGCCAGCCATGCAGACGAGGGCTGAGCCGCACATATTTATAACGACGTTATTACACGCATACACAGTTCTTCGTATTAGATTAATGTTATCTCTCAATAGTAATAGCAAAACAGGGCCTCGGCCGGCGTCGGCACGTGTCCGTCGTCGTCGTCGTTACCCTGGCGTTGCGGCGATTTCAGTCTTTGTAGGGGTTGCGGCTGCAAGTCGCGCCAGAACTTTCTTCTGCGCTTTTTGTTGCTGGTGACCGGCGGTAGCAGAGGCGGCGGCGGCGGCGGTCCGCTACCGTTACCTCAGTCGAGGCCGTTCTGCTGCGTCTGCGCCGGTGGCGGCTGCTGCTGCTGCTGCTGCTGCAATTGCGACGACTCTCGCTCTCGCGAACTCACGGTCAGTTGCTCGGGCTCGGGCGCTGGCGAGGGGCTGCGGCTGGCGCCCGGTGGCAGCGCTACCGGTCCGCCACCCATCCGTCGTTCGCCATTCGCCGCGCCGCCGCCGCCACCGCTCGACTGTCCTCCGCCCACCTCGGACTGCAGCATCTGGGCCATGTTTACGGCCAGGGAAAAATTGGCGAAATCCGGGTAGAAGCCCTGACTGACCCCACCGCTCAGCAGTGGCATGTTGGCGTGGTGCGAGTAGGCCGCCGCCGCCTCGGCGTCCGTCACACCGCCCGGGCCCCCGAGGCTCTGCTGCTGCTGTTGCTGCTGCTGCTGCTTGCTCGGGCCGGGGGCCTGCATACTTTTGGTGTTGTTGTTGTGCGCCAGCACGAGCTCCCTCGTCGAGCAGTCGTGTCGGAGCTGCTCGAGCTTGAGACTCTTGCCGTACTTGCCCCTCACGTACATGAGCAGACTGTTGTAGGGTATGCCGTAGGTCCGCGAGGCCTGCGACGTCGTCATGGTTTTCCTCCAGACGGCGCTGAGGGCCTCGGTGAGCTCGTTGTTGGTCCAGGATCGCGGGGGCCCGCCTCGGGGTGCGCTGTGCTGGCCCTTGGGCTTGTTGAGCGGGCGCACTTGCTGCTGACTGCACCAGCGTCGACCCGACGAGCCGCCTCCGCCTCCGCCGGCCTCCGACGATCTCTGCTTTTTCGACTTTTTGCGCGGGGGTGCCGGCGGCGGAGGCACGCCCAGACTCGCCGCGAACAGGCCGTGGAACGTCTCGGGCTTGAAGCCGTCCTGGTAGCCCTCCATGGGCAAGCCGTGAAACAGGCCGTTCATCGCGGGCTCCTGGCCAGCCAAGAACGATCGATGCCCGATGGGCGAGCCGCACGGGGCGAAGGGGAAGCCAGCCGGTGGCTTGACCTCGTCGGGTCGCGGCAGTCTCGGCGTGGCGACGCCGCCTCCGCTCATGTGGTTGTGCTGATTCGGTGGCAGCCACTGCGCCGCGAGCTGACTCAGGCTCGAGAGGTACTCGTTGTTCGGGTGGTGCGGAGGCGTCAGCGCCAAGCTCGACATCGCCGCCATGCCGGGCACGGGCATGTTCATGTACGGCCCGTTCGGGCTGAACGTGTGGTTGCCCATCAGCGGCGAAGTTCGCGGGCTGTTGGTCGTTTCGCTCTCGGTTTTCAGCAGATCGATCGACAAGGTCGGAGAGAAGATTTGATTCAGCTCCTTCTTCATGGAGAGATTTTCCGCCTCCTCCTCTTGTTGCTGCTGGAGTTGCTGTTGCTGCTGCTGCTGATCGGTCGTGTGCTGCTGTTTATCGTGCGTCGATGCCTGCTTCTCGCTGATCGTCTCGGCATCGGTACTGCTGTTGACGCGCGGCGAGCTCGGCCTCCGAATCGACGGATCTACGACGAATCCGTTGGAGGGCGACTTTCGATTTTGGATCGCCGCGTCCAAGTCGTCCTCGAGGCGCTCGCTGCTCTTGGTCCGACTGAGGTCTTGCGGCTGGTCGTCCGACCTTCTGCGCGGTCGCGCCTGCTTCCTTCTCGCCATCAGTGGTGAGGCGCTCGTGTCTCGACTGCAGTCCTGTCCCCTGTGGATGAGGTCCCTGTCGGACTCGGGAGTCGGCAACTCCTCGTCGTCTCCGTCGTCGGCCAGCAACTGCTGATGAGCCGCCTCCTCCTCGGGCGTCAGCGGCTCGTCGGCCAGCGAGTCCGCTGAGATGGGACTCGATGTGTTTCGCGTCAGCTGTACCTCCGACGAGGTTAATCCTCGAATTTGCAAACTGCTCGCTGCTTGTAAGACCCCAGGCAAATCGGAATGTTCTATTCTCACTTCGCCTAGGTACATAAATTCCATTATAATGTTGATCTCATTGACGGAGAAGTCATCGAGAACGATCACCGGATGTTTACATGGGTGATTCTCGAATATCTTCGCGAAGAAAGGGCTGAAAAATGAAAAAAGCAAATGTGATGTTATGAGCTGCTATCTACGGGCTTACCAGCAGACTTTGCCAAGCTCGCTGGAGCTTTTGCAGCAGAGTAGTAGCATCATTTACCTGCAAGCACTCAGAATAATTTTGTGGGCTCCAAGGCTCCCGTTCGCGCATACAAGTGTGACGTCGACCAGAGTGTCATTATCCGCATGCAGTAATGCTCCGAATGCTTTTGTTATGTGGAGTTGGTGGTTATGCCACCTCAAGGAATAGCCCGAGGTTGATTCGACCGTACTGCCAGTTCGACTTGACATCTTTGTATGCTAATTGTTTGTTACACTTTATTTCGGAACCAGGCTCCGAAGCGCTTAGCAAGGCCGACAACACGACGTAGCTGGTTTTTTTACGGACAACCTGCAAATTTATATACATGTTTAAAATTACTACGAACTAAAACGGCAACGAGAACGATAAATTTATAAGTCAAAAATTGGAGTCGATAACAGGGAAAATTTATCAATTAGCAGCTTGAACAGTTATCGCAGTTTCTTTTTTTTAATCGTATTTTATTCACAAACTGTATTAGAGGAGGGCAATAAATAAATATGAATAGCGTATGGGAAATAGCAAAATAAAATAGTTATCGCAGATAATTCACTATTTCAGGAAAGTAACTTGTTCATTAAAAAATTATCGAAAAGAAGTTTTAATAGATTTTCTTCATACCTCAGAGTACCGTATCTATATTTTCAAAACAATATAGCAATTTTCAACTTTAGTAAACATCGATTAAAATGACTTGTTAGTCCTTCTTATTAGAAATTTGTACTGCAGCCAGTAAGATTCAAGTTTTTAATAAATTTGGAATATTACATTTAAATGCGATTAAACTATTACATTTAAAAATATGAAAGTTTGGATTCATACAAATGTTGTGCATTTTAACGATTGATTTAATTAAAGTTCTCTCAAAATATTTTACATAGTAAGCATAATATTTTTCTGAATTACCATGATTTCAAAGTAATGTCGATGTTCACAATAAAAAAGAGGGCTTTCATTTAATTTAAAATAAAATAAAATGGTGTCCAAGTACTGTAAAAATTATCGTTTTACTAATAGGTTTCAGATCAGTTTAGACATAGTAATTCAATAAATCTATTGATAATTTTTGCAACTAAAAATTTTAACATTTCACCATTGATATACAATTATTTTAAAGAGGATTTTAATTATAAAGGAATATAAATTGTAAGTAAAGTTAATTAAGTAAAATAAATGAAAAATATTAAAAAAAATAAAACAAAAATAATTATCTAATATAATCAAGAATGTTTATTCAAGCATTGCAGAATGTTCAAAATTTAACTAAATAGTTTAGAAAAGTTTACAAGCATCCAATAAAAACTGTAACTTCGAGTATGTGAAAGTCTTCGCTGCCTGCATATACTAATCAACTTCTTGATAACTCAAAGGATGTATGAGTTAATAAGTTTTCCAGTTAAAACCAAAAAATGTGCAAAGTCATGTCAATTAATATTATAATCATATAAATTATCAGCCAATTTTCACATTTAACTCGAAAGTTACACGATTTATACTTTACAAATTCTCTGAGATTAGCTAAAAGTTTTTGAGGAAGAAATTTACGTAAACTTGACAATTTTAATTTATCGTGACAGCTTATGCATGTAGAACTGTAATATATAAAGGAGTATTCGTAAATTACACTAATCAGGTATAACTTAGAATGAATCAATCGAACTGATAAACAATAAAATGAAATTTTGCACACGAGTTGACTTGCACTATAAATTGTTTAAATTTTGCTAAATCTCAACAATAAATACTTAGTTTGGCAGAAAATGGGAAAGTGCGTCACGTGCGCTGATCACGTTGGCGCGAAAAAGCGATACATGACTCCCCTCTAGTTTTACTAGTCTCCCCCGAACTTTGCAGCTTGAGTGAAGAGCGATATTCGAGTATCCTCTTCTGCTATAACTGATCAGCTGATATTTTCACATTTCAAATAGTGCTTAACTGATTTTATATTGTTGAATGAATTAAAACTCGGCACAAATTCAGTAATTACTTTGCAATTCTAGAATTTATGTTTTATAATTTGAAAATTGGTTCAATCTCGTTTAAACTCCATTTTTCAACGACGAGCAAAAACTCGAGGGTTACAAAAAAAGTAAATTTTCTAGCGATCGAACAAGTTTAAAAAAAAAAATATTTGAAGCATATTTTTAAAACTCACTTCCATCAGTTGTATCGGCAAAGCAGCACGATGTTGAATCGATCTGTTGCTTCTTCTCCACCGAGCCGCTTAAAGCGACAAGTGCGAACGATGACAGCTCGAAGTTATCACGCACAAAACCATACGTAATTTGAATTTCACCTTTATGCAAACGGAAACGACACCACTAAATAACGTATTAAGTGCTTTTTATTATGAGGCACGTTAAGCATCACACTTTTTACACTTCATGAATTATTAACAACTGAAGACTACGTCGAAGATGCGGGATGATTACAACAGTGTAGACGAAGACGTGGATCGGAAAAAATATTTTTAAATATTTTCTCTCTCGAGGACAATAGAAAAAAATGAATTTCTGCACGCACTTTTTATAATCTCTGCCGATGCTAGCACACTCTCACACTCACACACACTGTATACATGTGTCCGTTAATGTATGTCGGAATAATACCGCCGAAACTTGGAAAACTAAAAAAGTTCGTGGCTGGTAATTTTGAGGGAAAAAAAGAGAGAAGAGATGTTGAACGTGTAAGAGTCCGCTCGCAACCGTTTACGATGAAAGACTGAGTGTGTTGCCGAACGGAGGGAGCGAATATACGAGGCCAGGTTTCACCGGCAAGTGGCAAGTGTCTACGTACGTGTGTTGCAGAGATCCCCTCTCTTACGCCTACAACCCCACTATGGGGGGCAACCCGATTGCGCTGCTCTGCTCTCTTCCTTTCCTTCTTCACCTACATGCTTTGGGTTCGCAGTCGCGCTTGCATGCGCCTCGTATACTCCGCTACCTACACGTGTATGTGTATTGTGTACCGAGCGTAATGCTCGTCGTATATGTACGCACGCGTATGTGTATCGCGCGCCACACTCTCCGCGCCCGCGCGCGTATATATACCCACACACACGGCTACATACCGATTTACGTCTCTACTCTCTCTCTCGCTGGCGCGAGCGCCAGTTCCCTCTCTCATTATTACCGCTGCCCCTACTCCCGGCAATTCGCAGCCTTTACCCTTCTCCTCTCGCTCAAAATCTTAGCGCCCACCCACAAGCTTGCCATAAAGCTTCTCTCGTCGTCCAACTTACAAGCTATCAACCTTCCTTCTTGCTCCTTTCTCGCTTGCAACGTGTACTCTCGCTCGTTGCATGCAACGTGGTTCAATCTGCACATGTTTCTACGTGTGTGCGATAAGGCATTTTTATGGCCGTTTCTGCTCGCTTTTCGATGAAATTAATTTTTTTCTCCGCATCCTCGCTGTAATAAACAAACACCCATTTCCACGATACTGACAATAATTCTCATTAATTAAAAGCATTTCGATTTAGTTTGAAAAAGTACAAGTTCTCTTATACAATGCTAATTTTTTGCAATTGATCATATATTATAAAAGTTTTAATGATCGCTAAATTAGAGTGAACCTTAATGATAATAAAATATTTGTATTAATGATGAATTCAAATTTCTTTCCTTATTTCATTCAAGGATCAACTCAATTCTCGATACATTATAAGTTTCTCAGTAAAAATGACAATGGTCATTAAACTATTTTTCATTAATGTTGAATTATATTATTAGATCGCATATAATTTTAATAATTTTTAATTAAAAGTTGCAATAATTTACTTAAAAAGTATTTTAAAAATTTGGCATGGCGTATACATTTCAGTATTGTTTCAAATTCTGTTCAAATTTGAATTTATGAAAACGTCTAAAGCTGCACAGTTGCATTTGAATCATAAGCTCGCATGCTCAATATTCTACATCAAAGTATAGTAAAGCGAAGCGGAAAAACTTGGAAAACTTGAAATGCTTCTTCTTTTTTGCCTTTGATGTAACTTTGAACGATTTTTAAAATAGCGCAAAACCTCATATTTGTGTTTTGTTCATAGTTACTGGTAAACAAATGTTTTGTTGCATTGGTAGCAGGCATTACAAGTACTCACAAAGCGAGACTTTGTCAAGTTATACCGTCCCGAACACGCAGAAGAAGGAGATGAAAATTGGCGAGCAAGGAAAAGATAGAGGAAGCGAGACAGAGATGGAGATAGAGAGAGAGAGAGAGAGAGAGAGAGAGTAAACGAGGGAGTCCCACCTCCGTGTCCACCTCCATGAGCTCGGGTACCAGCCCACCGGACCCTCTCTCTTTTCTTTTCCGAGGCTCGATCTTTTGCGCGTACTCTCCCACCTCTCGCAGCTACTGCTGCTGCGCACGGACTTTTCTCTGGGCTGAGATCTTTAGGATGAAAAACTGTCGCGTTGTTGTACATCAGAAGCAAGGATACTTGCATTTTACTGTTTGTTTTCATCATGGGTCTTATTTAATAAATATATATTTGTCAATCGTGACCCTTCAACCTAATCAAATAGCCTTCCATTTCAAATAATCACATAAATTCTTGCATGAACTTGGAAATAGTTTTCCTGAACATACAGCGCCATTTTGCTCGAAGAGTTTCGATTGCTCGTGAATAACACTTTAACACAAATAGGTAAATGACTAAATAATATTGAACCCTATAAATGTTTTTATATATTATACAGTTCGTTTTATAATAAAGTTGTATGTATTCATATATTGAAATATATCTATTATATGAAACATTAATCGTGTATAATTATTTCTTAGATTCATTTACAGATTCTATTCAAAGGTTTAAAAAATCATTGAATTTATTTTGTAAAAGCTAAATATTTATCATGCTACGTTAATTCTTCAAATTATGATAGAATTAAAAAGAATTAACACAATTTTTTCTGCTTAGCTAGTTTTGAATTGTATCTTTTATTACAATGAAAAGGTGCATCAAATCAAAATTGCACAGGTTCATTATCATTAACAAAAAATGAAAAATATAACCGATGATTGAATTATAATTGCCAATATAAATGGTATAGAAGTAAGAATGCTTGAATGTGTCTATTTAAATTGTACTAAGTAATCAGAAAGTCCGTGTAAGACTATAGTAGAAAGTCGAATCTTTAGTGTTGAAAGAATCACATTTTTTTTACATAAGTTGCGGTTTTTTTAGTTTCTATTGTTAAATTTAAACTACAAGTTGAAAACATGAACACGAGTCTGTACTGCACTGAGATAAATCCTTTAGTCCATTTCAAAAAAATGCATTTGATAGCATGGCAACCGGAAGTATATTTCACACGAAAAAATACCATCAAGACACGCAAATTTATAACGGTACGTAATCAAATAATTATCTATTATTTTTATTTCAGTTCCCACATAACCACGTTTATAAACTGCGAAAACTAATGACATTATGTTTTAATTTTTCTCATCAATGCATTCATCTTTAGGGTCATTATATGTTGTAATTTGTTACTATAAATCCTATGATAAGTCCTTCAAATGGGTTGAGTTTCAAATAGATCAAAAATGCAACGAAAACAATTTCGATAATAATATAGAATAAAGAAAGAATTGATAATAAAGAAAGAATTGACAACAACATGTGAGTGAATAATAAATCATCAAATAGATTTTTGCCAATAACTTGTTCTGCGATTGCACTCAATAATGTATGAATTTCCATTCATTTTTTTCATAACTTTGTAAAATAACAATGAAGCCCAATGTAAAACAAACACTCGGTAACAATACTCGTCATATTAAACATTTAGTTGGCATTAAACCGCTTAATGTACTATTATCTTAATTTATACACGTTGGGTAAAAAATCATCATCACTTATTTAATTTTCCTCTTTTATCTCAAACGTAAATTATTTTAAAACAAATTGAAAATGAAACCACAAGTATTTTTTCCTGCAAATCGCACTATCGTACTGTTCATGATACAGAAATGATTAAATATTATGCTCATAAATTGCATACATCAGCATGAAAAAGTAATTTATTTTGTCCATTTCTCATTCAGCTATAAATTAATTTTTAATACAAAATGAATTATATTTCCTTTGATTTTGAGCAGCAGTTTTATTTTTTTCATACGACGGGATCAAGTTGCCTTTCAGAATGTTAGCATTTTTTGAATTAAATTTTATAATAAAAAAGCTTACATTATTGCTATTAGAATTTAAAAGTATTCACAATAATTTTTATGTGTAGTATACCACATATGACGTACCGAATGATAATTTAAAAATATTTCATTTGATTGAAATTGCGATGTTCAATTTGGTAGTATTGAGAAAATATCTGAATCCAAAGCAAAAAAATCGTCGAAACTTTGATGGACTTTGGAGAAAATTGAAACTCATCGAGGTTTTGATTTCGATCGTTGAAAAAAAAATCTTTCGCCCAAGCAGATCGCGTTAATCGGGTTGTGAGTTGCGACATCGCGATTCGCCAGAGAGAAAAATGCAGAACGCTTGCCAACTCCCATGCGCGCGCGCGCTCTTCTCTCTCTCTCTCTTTTTCTTGGGCTGCGGCGGTGGCAGCAGCTACACGGAGCGGCGGGCGGCCGGGCTTTCTTAGCGCGCGCGAATGTATTTTTTAATTATTGATTTTAATGATGAGGAGAGTACACTCGAGGCGCGCACGACTTTTCGTCCACGCTGCGCCATCTTGGATGCTGGGCGGGGTGTACAAAACACACGTACGTCGCATATAACGCACACGTATATAGGCGCTCTCTCGCTCGCACACAACAGCGCGCGTTATATGTATATAGCGAGGTAGGCGAGAGTCGGCGCGATGTCCCCCCGCGAGAAAGAGCTTTTCTCTCTCTTTTCCACGTATGCGCGCGTGTGCGGCCAGCACAAGTGCAGCAGCAGCAGCGGTAGCAACACTGTGTGTAGTATATGCCGAGAGAAGAGTGCGGCGCTCTTTTTGCCCTCCCCACCAGCTCTCGCGCTTGATGCTCTGCTGCATCAGCACAATTTCCCCTCTTCTCTCTTCTTTTCCACGCTCTTTCTTGCTCCTTTTTCGCGAAAGGCTCCGCTCTTGCCTCTTAGCAGCTCTTCTCCTCTCGCGCTTCTTCTGCTGCTGCCGCTGCTGCTTTTCTTTCCTAGCGCTGCTCTCCCTTCTTCTATTCCTTCGGCTTTTCCGTTTCTCGCACCCAACTCCGAACATCGATAACCCTGCTTGAGCTCTGTAATTATTGCACCGAGTCTTCTTTCTATATAAGATTCTCAACTTGCCATTGTTATTTTTTCTT